GTATCAGCAGCGTGGGGCACATGCCTGCTGTTTGAGCCCCGCGAGAAGAGACAGGCCAAGCTGCGCCTGGCCAGACAGCAAGAGCAGATCAGACAACGACAGCACCAGCGGCATATGCAGGCTGGTGAGCGAGTTAGACAATCTGTGATGAATGCGGTGCGGTCGGGTAAGATTACCGAGCAGCAGGGGAGGGATATCGAGATGGGGATTATGAATTTGAGTGCTAACCGCTTGGATTCGGAGCCGAGAAGACCTGAGGCCGCCAGAATGATGGCTAGGTTTCGGGTTTGAAGGCAGGGGGTTTGAAGAAGAAGAGAGGAGGAGTTGTGAGTGAGTGAGAGAAGTGATAGTGAGACAGCGGATCAGATAAGATTGTGACTGTGACTGACTTGTACTTGAACTTGAACTTGCAATGTCCTGATTCTTTGGAACTGATTCCCGAATTCTCGGGTCTTTAAAAAAAATAAAAAACCGCAAGTGAAGTGAACTCATGCTGGTCATGTGGTTATGAATCTTGAACTTGAAGGTGATGAGTGTGTATGAGGTGATTTCTCAGGCTCACTAACACCCTTGAACAATTAATAAAAAGAAAGTCTATTTCGGACATGATGCTCAAGTTGAGCACCCATATGCCTTGTTCCCTATTTTCCATTTCCAGAATGTGAATGTACGTATGAATGTACGCAAGTAGCTTCATGAGATGTAACGGTGAGAGCGTTCCGACTGACTGACTGACTGGCTGACTGAAAAGCTGAGCAAGACCCCGTCTCAGTGAAGATATTGTTCTAGAACAACCAAAAAGCTTATATCCGGCTAATTTGCATTGATAAACTGTCTCAGTAAGTAGTGTTTGATCCTCGGACGGAGGATACCGAGTTGATTTGTAGGCTGAAGGGTGTCAAGTCGCCTGAAGCTCTGGATGAAGTCATCTCAACCGGACCGCTCTTTCCGATCATGAAAGAACAACGAATACAGGTTGCCACGTCTTGTCTTAATTACTCTAGAAATATGTGCTGACCCAAAGGGGTTTCGAAATCGATAATATACTCCAAACAGGTGAGTGAGACGAGGTGGCTGGGAGATAAAGTAATCAGAGGTGTTGCAATTGGACGCTCTTGGCTGACCTCTTCAGCTGAGAATACCAGGTACCTTAGGTTATTCTTTGCACATGCCGTATCGGATTCGCAAAGTTCACTGACCATCATCATAATCAGCTTTGCTGGCTTGCGAATGCACACACACCATCCCAGAGAAGGGCCAAGAAAACTAGCATACGGTACTCGTAGCCATGACAATCCACGTGCACGAACATTGCCTCAAGATGGCCACCCGCGATGACGGGACACCCTGGTGGACGGCCTTCCCAGAACCCAAGTCGGACGTCAACACGATCGAACCAGCTCAAGTGCTCGAACTGCTAGAAAGTCAACACAACGGCAAGCCAAAGCCATGCGAGTTCTTGCTCATCGACACTCGACGGACTGACTGCACAGGTGGCACCGTCACCTCATCCCTCAACATGCCCGCTCACAGTTTCTACCCAACACGGAAATCACTGTACGATTTGTGCAAGCAAGCTGGAATCAAGAGGATAATCTTTTATTGTGGTGGGTTGTCTCCTTTTCATCCGTCTTTGCCCCAGTAACCCGTGATCATGACCCTGAGGGTCCTTTTCCCCATGTCCACTAACAACTGGCGCCCCATCGCGCTCCGCCCGAGAGCTAGGCTCCTCCAATGGTCGAGGTCCAAGATGCGCCGCATGGATGCAAGACTATATCGACCAAGTCGGAGGTGATATCCAGTCGCAGGTAATGACGGGCGGAATCCGGGGCTGGGTAAAGGCGTATGGCGGCCAGATGATGGATGGATACGACGAAGAGACGTGGCAGGCGGAAAGCGCATGATGGAATCAGGCTCAAGAGCTTATCGGGGTATCTTCTTTTCCCATTTCTCCAGGGTGGTGTCGACAAGACGCACACCTGTTCTGGTACCATGTCGTTTTGCGAAATCTGAACGCCATCCAACCAGCCCAATATATTCACCAACAACATAAATGAAACCCGTATTGAAATATCATCTTTTTAACCCATGCGCCCGATGGGTGTCGCTCGTCCGAGGCAGATCAACCTCGCCTATCGTCGCCAATGCGTTCCAAGGCCTCCAGCATTACAACTGAATTGCCACGAATAACCTGTAGAAACCAAAGTCAATAAATCCCCCAACGCAATGACGCCGAAAAGGTCATAATAACGTACCACCATGCCGAGCCTTTCCTTCTCACCACCAGCCTTCTCTTCGACGGCGTCATCGAGGACAATGTTCAGGAAGACCTGTGACCGAGAACACCGCCAGTTATTAACGGCGTGAATCCCGGCGCAAGATTGGGGATCACCTACATCATAGCCACGGAGGACACCAATAACCTGGCGCTTTCCATTGAGTTGGACAAAGAGTCTCTTGTCGAGATACTAGAGGGAAGGGAACAGGTCAGCCAAGGTCCACCGAATTTCCCAAGAAAACAATCATCAGTGCAGAGCCGACGCATCCAATTAAGAACGAGTCAAAGAGAATCGTAACTTACCTTCTTGAGTTCTGGTTGTGCGGGCGCCATCTTGTCTTGAAGGCGATGATGCTGTCTCAAGATGTCGGTGTTGATGAACTGGAGCTGGAGAGGTTCTCGCTCGCGACAAGGGCCCCCACTGTTAACGCTGGCCTGGCGCGCCTGAAATTTAGGTTGAGGCGCTTGGCCCCGCTTTTTCAGCTCAGAGCTCGCGCGACCATTGGCCGGACGGCTCCAGCTTCACCTCAACTCAAGTCCCGTCACAAGCAACAAAAAAAGTCGCGGAAGCGATCGCATCCAACGAACAAATACTCCAACCACCACTTAAACCGACAAAATGAGCTCATTCGTAAAGCGCAAGCCCCGTGTCATCCAAACTCTCGACGATGATGTCGACCTGGGTCCGTCGCTGATTGGCGGCGAAGAAGCCAAGAAAGAAGGTAAGTCGAGCTCGTCCTCGTCGCAACCACAGAATCGCATTCGCCTTCCTGCCCTCTCTGCTGATAACCGCAACTCATCACAGAACACACGAGCTGATTCGGTGCCGACAGTACAAATTCCACAAGGCCCCATCAAATTTGGCCGCAGCAAACCCGCCAAATCGTCGTCTTTGCGAAAGAGCATCAATTTCAATGACCTGGAAAACACCGATTCAGGCGCGGCCGGTGATGATGAAGCGGACAAGACTGCGGACGACAAGGACCAGACGGGGGCATCCGTAGTGATACGACCAGCTATCAGTCGTTCGAGCTCGGTAAAACAAAAGAAGCGCGCATCGACGTCCCGGCTATCGTTCGGACCGAGCGACCTCGCCGCTGATGACGGCGATGCGGAGGCAGTCACAACCCCCAAAAAGTCACTCGGAAAGAAGGTCATTGAGAACAATGCGCTACGGAGATCTGGCTCTGGAGCGTCACTGCCTCCTCGGTTCTCAGCCTTTGGGGGAGAGGACGACGACGACAAGCCGAAATATAGCAAGGAGTATCTTCAAGAACTCCAGAGCTCGACCCCGAACACGCCCCAGAATCTCTCTTCTCTGCGCATCAAGGATTACAACGAAGATGAGGGAAATGGCACAGATCTTGACAATCAGGACATGATGGATCTCGACCCCTCAGAGCTGGACGGAGCCCTGATTGTGCAGTCGCAAGACCTCTCCCGACGGTCTCCATCAGCACAGGCTCTCACACGACCAACGAATTCGGCCAATATCCTGACAGAAGCCGAGATCCGCGAGCGCAAGGAGCGCCGCGCACGGCTAGCTCAGGAGGCCGACTTCATACCCCTAGACGACGACTCGGACAATTCTGAAGACGAGCACTCCAACCGCGTGACTGTTCGCTTCGACTCTTCGAAACCCAAAAAGTCGGAATCCCGACTCATTGCTGAAGACGAGGATCTAGGCGAGGGATACGACGAATTCGTTAGCGATGGAGGGCTGGCGCTCGGCAGAAAGGCCGAGCGTGAAGCCGAGCGACGACACAGACAGGAAATGGCAGATATGATACAAGCGGCGGAAGAGGGCTCAGACGCAGAGAGCGATGATAGTGAGGCTGAGCGGCGAGCCGCATATGAAGCTGCGCAACGTCGGGCCGGCATGGACGGATTACAAGGACCCGGCAAGGACGATGACCTCGATGGTGACGGCGGAGGGGGCATCAACATGATACCCAAGATGAAAACACTCCCAGACTTTGACGAAGTTCTTCAGAGGATGAAGAATTTGGTGCAAGGCCTGGAGGATGAGGTGGCTAGGAAACGGAGCAGGATAGCAGACCTGGAGAAGGAGAAGAAGGAAATCCTAGCAAAGGAGGTTGAAGTGCAGGAGATTTTGAACCAGGCGGGGCAGAAGTACCAAGCTGTTATTGGGACTGTCGGGGGGACTGGTGCGGCAGCTGCAGCTCCGGGGACTCCTGGTGCTCCGGTACCTGTGACTGGAGCTGGAGTAGGGGCCGGGATCGGCGAGGCGATCAAGCTGTCGTTCTCGGCATCAACACAATCACCGTTACGCGTGCCTCTTCCGCCTGGTATTGGGGTTGATTTAGCTGTTGAAAGGGGGCTGGAGAGTTTTGGCACGACGCCGACCAAGAGGCCTGATCCTGGGGCTGAGGACCAAGACGAAGAGATGTCTTGATTGCCTGCGAGATTAGCAGACTTGTATTAAATTCGTCGTACTTGTATAACCAAACTACAGAATACCTAGAAACCATCATCACAGACTCCCTTGTCTTCTGAATTCCATTCTCATCAAGTGGTATCTGAATCTACCCATCGATCATGGGCCACAGCTCCAAGTTGGATTCTTCAAAGCCACATCTCGTTTCTTGTCCCCCTTTTTGAGTCGGATCCACCTATCTGCATCATAAGCCATGAACTCCATAAACGCCCTAAATACAATAAACCCGGAAACCCTAAACAAGCAAGCACAAAAGAAGAACAACTCCTTGTGGTGTAGTTGGCTATCACGTTCGGCTGTAATTGTAACAATCATAAACCGAAAGGTCACCGGCTCGATTCCGGTCGAGGAGATTCTTTACCCTTTTGCCCAGGTCCTTTCTTTGAAGCTTGGGTCCATGGCTCTTTTTTTCCCCATCTAACCCAGGACCATTCTTTTTACCTTTTATCTCCTCCGGAACCATGGTTCTCTTCAGGTCATGATAACGACCACAGGGGCCCGTATGATATGGTAGAATGTTTACTTCTTTGCCTCTCTAGAAATTACCGAAACCATAAAAGTCATTCCTTCATCACCACCCGAGGAACAAGATAAAAAGCGGCAGCAAATACAAGTATCACGAGGGGTAGGAATACAAATCCAATGAACCAGCCCGCACTCTACAGCTACAGATACAAAGGCAACCAGTTTCCCCATGATTGCCACGATGCGATAAAAATACGTGATTAAAGAAAACACCACCCCAACTGTCCCCAGACATCTAGTCCGCCGTCTCATAGTCCGTTATATGTTTGTCTCCCACCTCGCTGATTTCTTCCACTTACTGTCGATACCATTCCTTGTCTGCGTAACAAGTATCCGCCATCTAAATCATCGCGGCAGTTCCTTACTTTGACGAACGAATGACACCCGCCCCAATAACACCGGGGAGAGGCTCGTTGCCTATGCTATACAACAATCCAATGGCAAATGTGATAGCTCCCATGATTGTTATCGTGAATCCAGCGAGCAGCCAAAAAGGCACACTGACATCGATCTTCTGGCACTTGTTCCCAGCCCACGCGACCGTTTTGATGCCCACGTTTCCTTTACCCTTTCCAGGCTTGATAATGTCCCGCTGGTTGCATTGACATACGAAGCAGACCTTTGCATCTGCGGCAGCCGCAGTCGAGGCGTTCCCGGCCTTGCGACTATACTTGTCCACGCACTCGCCGTGACCGGAGCAGCTGTCGGTCTGCTTGGTGCAAGCATTGAAAGAGCTGAAGCATTGCGGAATCTTGGTCTTCTTTTCCTTCTCGGGAGCAAAGACGGATGGCACCTCGGGCTCTGTAAAGACGGATACCGACGAGGCCGTGGCGACGGCCGGGACGTTCAAGTCGGTCATAACGGTCTCGGCATCTCGGTTGAAGCGCCGGCGGAGGTCAGCCACCTCTCCTGCGGCCAAGGCACTCCAGTGCTTGATCTTGGAGGACCGGCTGGATTCGGGCATGAGGACCAGGGTGGCCTCCAGGTCTCCCGAGTCGACGAACTTGGTCAGGCGGGAGAAGTTGTCGAGAAGTGTTTTGGTAGTTGATGGAGACTTTGACACAAATATAATTCGTTAGCTTAGTGGAATCAATATGGCATTATCGTCCAGTTGACATACCTTTTTCAAGTCGTACCTGAGCACCGCCGCCATCGTTGTCCAGCAGTTGCTATCGAATGGGTTGATGGCCGACTCCAGGTCGCATTTTCGTGGTGATGGTACAGCACCCATGCTGTCGAAGAGATCCATCAGATGGCCATTCGCGACGGCCGAGGGGGGATTAGAAACCACGAAGCTAACAGCCTGGTCGGATTCCTCAATTGTCTTCACTAAAGATCCCACGTTTTCCTGTGTCGCACCCTCGATGATGACAACTAGCTGTGAGCTGCCGGTCTTTTCATTGCTACTAAAAATGGGAAGAGGCCTCTTGCCGTATCTGGCAATGTAGCTGACTGCGGCATCGGTGTCGACTGATTCGGGGAGATCGCGGAGGTCGCTGCCGTAACCGGATGCTGTGGACGTCTGCGCAACGCAGTCAGTGACGGCTCAACAAGGGGAGATGAAACTTTGTGCCAATATGCGGCTTACTCTTTGAAGGAGAATATGCCGCGCAACTTCTTTCGGGAGCTGGGGTGTATCCTGGGGGATCTGTTGTCGCCTGCTGCTGCTCATCAAGTGGTATACGCGGGCATCTTGGTCGGCACTTGCAGTGGTCAGCCCCGACAGAGCTGCCACCGCAATTCCCGTTGAGAACCTCATCTCAAGCGACCAAAAGAAGTACTAGCCCGGGTGATTTTTGTCAAAGTCGCTGTTCAGTGTGCAATCGGCTGGGTGGAGTGCTGGGTTCGGGGAATGGGATGTCGTCTCTGTCGTCAAAGAGATTATTTCAATGCTGATGTTCCCGGATTCTGCTGAACATTGAAGCTGCTCATCAATGACCTCGTCCCGCGCACCTGCACCGTGCACTGACCCAAGTGGCCAACGCAAGACGCTAACTTAAAGAGCCTAGGATGCGGCTACGGGTTATGGGGGTTAAAGTGGGGCGGCAACAATGCCAAGACTGGCGCCCTGTGCCTGCCCGTTTTGGCCCTCAAACAAAGCGCACTGTGCAAACCTGCTTCCATCCGCTGGCTTTCACCGTGCCCAGCTCAGATGGCAGCTATTCACACCGTGACCCTCTACGTAAATCGCGACAACCAAGACCGAAGGGAGGCGACAATGGTCTTCGACAATTAATTTCCTACTGCTCCTCAAGGCCATAAAATCCAACCATCTCGACGCCAGCTTCAATTACGGTGTACAGTGCTCCCCCGAGGAACTTTTAATACCTCCCATTGCTTCGACGGCGCGCAGCACCATTTGGCACCTCGATTTCGACCCTGTGCTCGGTCGATTATTGAAGCCTTCTGCGCCGGGACCAAGGATCAGACGACAATCGCCGGGGACAATCGCCGGCCTTCACGAGCGCATCACTTCAGCAGCCGTCTAGGATTTCTCCGTAGACGTCCTCGCTCACTCGGCCGTCGCCCGGCGCGCCTTTGTTGGCCGTTCCTCATGGCCTTCCTAGCCATCCGAACACCGGCCACGTCGAGGTTATTTTGCGGAACGAGACAGTTGCATTTTAGACCGTTGCATTTTAGACCGTTGCATTTTCTCACTTCGCGGACATCCAAAAGGCTTGGGAACGGACAAGAGGTTGTCTTCAACAATGTGAAGGTCAAGCAAAAACGGTACGGTTCATGGATGGGGTAAGTCGCATACCTGGTCAACTTGAGTAGGTAGCTGAGGGGTGGTTGCTGACGTCAAACTTGGGCCTTTGCGCAGCCGTACGGCGTTGAGCATCTTTGCGACCGTTCTCGCCTTTGAAATATACGACCACCTAGTTATATCACCGCTTGGGAAAGCAGTCGAGGACCTCCATCAGATTTCATCACCGCACGAGGAGGAGGAGGACGACGACTCTGACTTTTTCTTCCCGCTTCCCCTTACGACCAGAGAGGTTATACCACCACCCTATTCCCGGGAAGATCCCGAATGGGCCGAGTTTGTCAAAATAAGCAAGGACAAGGACTATATACGGCATATGAGGAGTAAGCGCTCCCCAACCTGAACGCACCTGACTATTTGTCTGTGGGCAATGCTAATGTAAATGACAGCAAGCCTTGTCTCTCAAGTACTTAGAATCACATCCGGCCATAGCATCCTGACGGCGAGATTCGGGAAACCTCTCAGGGTATCTAGCTGGCATTTGGACTTGGACTATCCGTTATATCCACCTCCTGTACACCGGCAACTCGGGTAAGCACCACCAGTTCTGTCTCGGCTAGGATTTCGTGACTGACGCCATGGCAGAATCCTCATCACCGACGAGGTGGTGGCAATAGCTGAAAGAGAGCGTGATTCACAAGCTGCACGGTTCGAAGAGCGGGTGCTGTGGCCAAAGCCCGTGATGATGGCGACCTGGGCTGTCCTCTCAGCTATCATGTCCCAGTCCAGAGAGTTGATAATTGGCACGTTATTTGGTGGTGACGGACTGAGGGCTCTAGACCAACCCGGGTTAGGATCAGACCCCCCGCCGGCAATAGCTTCTGCCACGACCAAGCCCAACGATGTGCAAAAGGCCATGCAGGCAATCAGAGAACATGCGACGAGAAGGCCTGGGGAAGTCCCTCCGCATGACAGCAGTATGGCCTCATCAGGTGATAAAGCCGCTTCAAAGGCAGCTTCGCCCGGCCCGGTCAACGGCTCCGGCCTACCTACCAGCTCGCCCAAGGCCAAGGATGACAAGGCCGACGAGGCTCCTCGAGAACTATCATATCAAACCAAGATATTTTGGCGGGCATACAGCAAAGCGTATAGGCCTTCGAAAGCGAATCCTCCACGCGGTTCTGTGCCAGTCATGGGCGTGGTGGTGGTGGAAACACCCAAGGCGTGGCTATACATTGATGTCATTGGGTGGTGGGATCCAAAAGAGAAAGACTATCACAGCGACAGCCTGGCCATGCACTTGGGACGGGTGCGATCCAAGGTGATAAATCCACTTCGATAAGCACGTCTCAAAACCATGGCCGATCGTTATTAGGTTTTTATTTCTTCCCACCCGGCGACATAGAAGGCCCGATTCTTCGTTCAACTTCGTGGCATAGCATTCCTTTTCCTATCAGGTGCATATTGTGCATGTCATTTTGAGTAGTCTGTACTCTAGTGTCACAGGGCAAGCCGGGGGGCAGTGCTCGGCTTTCCTTTAACTTTTCCGTCCCCTTTGTTCCTTTTTGATGTCTTTTCCCCCCTGTGGCATCTCTTACTAAAAATGGCGAAAAGCAGGGAAGCGAAGGGGAAGAAATACGGCTCTGGGGTCTCAGGTTTTTCTTTTTTTGGAATGGATCATATAGATGTGCTTGTAAGCACATATGCACGGATAGAGAGCAGCATCAGCATTATACCCAGAATCAGCAAGTGTTTTTCATATGGTGTCCAACTTTGGCACTTTGCAAATCCTCGCCCGTCTCATTGCCAAGTGACTCAGAGCTGGGCCGGTTTATATGGTTCGTGGACCTCAGGATTGACGTGGCTCGGTTGGTGACCTGGCCCCGGAATGATTCTACCTGAATGGGAAACGGACGGGAGGAATATCGTGGATGTTGGGGACCATGATCTGGACCGGCTGGATGACAGCTTAAAATGTGGGTCCGGCACTGAAGAGACCCTTACGGCCGGATGCCTAGTCCCGGGCACCGGCAACTGTGGGGCCGGTCAGTGTCGGACCATGCCGGACCCGGATCGGGATCCGGCTTCACCTCGGGAGAAATCCAGATCGAGCATCAATGA